TATATATATATATATATATATAATATATATGTATCTCTGTTTGTTTGTATGTCCGATCATAACTGTGGAACCCATTGACCGATTTGCCTCATAATTTAATTGTGGAACTTAGGATAACCACGGAAATGCTTTTAGCTTAGAAAAATAGCTAGAATCGAAATTTACAACCAAGCGCGGGTAAACGGCGGGAGTAACTATGAGTACCCTTGGCAACGCTGGGTTCTGAAGCTAGTTTATAAAAATATGTAGAAAGTGGGTTAATTGCAGCAACATCATAATATTTCAGGAACAAATAAAATTCTACTTGATCCTTCATATATAAGCTTATTTAGTGCATACATGTCACGCACAATAGAATATGGTTGAACAAAACAATAAAAAGAAATGAAATGTTATTATTTGTTTTTATGTCTTGCAATAAATATATTTTTAACTCATTATTGATTTTACTTTGTGGAAATGTAAATAATTAAAATTTTAAATATATTTACATAAAGAAATTTAACAAATTAACCAATGTTTGTACAAATTAGAGATATACAAAATACAGAACACTACTTGTGTTTTATTTATATTAATATATGAACTTTGCATCAATTCTAGTTTACGTTACAAAACATTTGATTGTAAACAAAAACATGCCAAAAAAATTAAATAATTTTGTATATGTAAACATTAAAAATTTAATTGTTAAAAATTATTGAATGTTGTCAAAACATTTATTTCTCGAATTGATATATTTTACAATTACAACTTGTTGCGATACGGATTGTACTGCAGCTTTCAGAATTCACAGATAACACAGAAGTACGTTAAGGTTAGTTACCTTTTAGGAATTCTCCGATTACTGGACATTTTCAATCTTTTTTCACCCTTGTCTCGTTCTTTAGTATACTACTTCATTGCTACGCAGTTGCGTCAACGAGACTGTTACGCATATATCCGCGTATCACTGCAGAACAACAAAAACTGAATTCGCTTTAAAATCTAGATTTCTTTGTTATGATGAACCCAGGCTAGAATGGTGACGTCACAGTGAGGGTAGTAAACTTGCTCCCTGTATACTGTGGCTGCTGCTGTGACCTACTTGTCAGAATCAGCTGATTTCCAACCCTCCTCCCTCGACAGAAAATCCTCTAAATACTATTAATGCGCAAAAAGTGGAACACTGTCCACACACTATAAAAGAGGCCTATACACACTTGAGTTAATACCGGGGTTCAGCTAGAGGGCTCGGCATTGGCATTTCAAATAATGTTTCAAGGACAAGGTCCCGGTATTTCGAGCTGAATATTGCGCAGTTACGGATACTTCGTTCGACAAGTTGAAAGATAGTAAAGGAATACCGGCTACCCAGCCAATCAGAGCCAACTTTGGGGCCTGATCGGCACATGACGTAGTCAAAACTAGAAAATTGCGGACAGATACCCCNTTACTCTGTATAAATTTATCTAGGTATATACTCGCTGACGATAATCTACTCAAAAAAAAGTTTTGGAACACTAAGAAAAAATCATTGCTTAAATAAAATCTCGCATTTTGGTGTGCAATTTATTGTAAAATATATTAAAATTTATATTTTAAAATTTTAAAATTTCAATTAAAACCAGGCGTGCCTGACTGAAACGGCCTTTAAAAGAAATAAAAACAATTTTCAGACTTAAAATAATTGCCGTTAAAAATTAACACATTTTGCCAGAAGGCCAACAGGTGAGGGTTGGACGGCATAGGGTAAGCGCATGCCGCAAACCCGTTTTGTGTCGTCAATGGGTCGGATGTCAATCACGAGTGCAGGTCTCCTTCCCCCTTTCGATCAATTGCTTTAAAAGTTCATCACCTTTTGCGCTTTAAGTCTCCGAATCCCTAAAACACAGGTTATAGATAATTTCTAAACCTGGTTCTGAATCTTCTCCTGATCCTGAACTACAACTTAAAAATCTGAACATTCTCCTAATCTTGAACCTTTTTCTGAATTTAAACATTAATTTTTTAACTTTAATCTTCTTCTGAATCTTAACTTTCTTTTAAACCTTCTTTAAATCTGAACCTTCTTCTAAACATGAACCTTCTTCTAAACCTGAACCTTCTTTTAAACCTTAACCTTTTTCCAAACCTGAACCTTCTTCTAAACCTGAATATTCTCCTAAACTATAACAATCTCCTTAACCTGAACCTTCTTCTAAACCTGAACATTCTCCTAAACTATAACCATTTTCCTTAACCTGAACCTTCTTCTAAACCGTAACATTCTCCTGTTATAAATGCTGTTTGAACATATCTATTTATATGCGTTGTACAATGTTTAAGGATCTAACTGTGTTTGTCCTTAACCACGTAAAACTTGTAATGAAATTCTATTAGCTATGTATTATGATTAGATTGTTTGTATACCTGCTTAATATTGTGGATAAGTATTGGAACTGTCATATAACATTGAGATTTATTTATTTATTTGATAGTCACGGGATTGTAGCCGTGTAGATTGTGTGTTGTTTGAGACATATTGATCAATTATTTCTACTGTCTGTATTAACACCAATAGCTAAGGAGATCGCGCCCAATTTGTGGCGTTGATAAATCACAAAATTGTAGGTGTGTGGATCGCTTCCTATTTGAGACATTGATGAATTGATTGCTAGTGTCCGTATTGACACTGCAGATAGCTAAAGAGATCGCGCCAAGGTTGTGGCGTTGATAGTTCCCGGCCTGTAGCCGTGTGGATCCTGTCCAGTAAGAATTGAATCGCGGACTGGTGAAACCTGGACTGATACAGTTTATGTGACGAACTTTTAAGAGTACGGCATTTACTACAAATTGTAGTAGCAGCGAGAATCAAGAGTTAAAAGAACCTTAGTTAAATGCCAGTTACTCCAAGGAAGAGAAGCCATGTAAGTACCTGGTGCAATGGTGTAGGAAGTGAAATAAGACGAGGAGATATTGCACCAGAAGAAACTACAGCACTGGATGTGGTAGAATCATTATATCCAAGTCTGCCTAGAGAAGCGATTGCGCCCAGGTTGTGGCGTTGAGAGTTTCCAGGATTGTAGCTGTGTGGATCCTGTCAAGTAAGAATTAAATCGTGGACTCGTTGAACCTGGACTGACACAGTTTATGTGACGAACTTTTAAGAGTATGGCATTTACTACATTAACCTTCTTTTAAACCTGAACCTTCTTCCAAACCTGAACCTTTTCTTAAACTTGAACCATCTCCTAAACTAAGCCTTTTTCTAAAACTGTACCATCTTCTAAACCTAAATTTTTCCCTGGACCTGAAACTTCTTGTAAAGCTGTGCCTTCTCCTTTATCTGAACCTTCTCCTTTATCTGAACCTTCTCCTTTATCTGAACCTTCTCCTAGACCTAGAAACCTAGAAACCTTCTCCATATATAGATGAACGCCTTTCTACTCAATTTTAATCAGTTAAACACATATTTTCAATTTTCCCAAATAATTCAGACTGAATAATATATCAACTAGAATCTATGTAAGAAAGACACAGGAAAAAAAGTTTCTGGAAAAAGTCCTGAGTTTTAGATTGCTAGGACTATTAGGACTATTAGGACTATTAGGACTATTAGGACTATTAGGATAGGACTATTAGGACTATTAGGACTATTAGGACTATTAGGACTATTAGGAATATTAGGACTATTAGGACTATTAGGACTATTAGGACTATTAGGACTATTAGGACTTTTTTCTTTAAATAATATGGGAGCTGCCAAAGTTCCTTTTTTCCATGGCTTTTTGTATAAAATCCTACAGGAACCAGAAAAAAATCCTTGAAAATAAAGTCTCATAACGGTAGGACTTCATTAATTCCAGAGATTTTTTATTTCAAGGAGGACTTTTTTGTGCCAAAATTTAGGAGTTTATTTCCGAACACTTTTTTTCAGAGAAAATTGTTGGCAGTTACCATACAGCTAATGTTACATTGTAGCACGGACGATGATTTCTTAAAGTATATGTCTTTATAAAATTCACAAAGAATTCACCAAGAGTAATAAAGCTAGTACACAATAGTTTCAGAAAATAAACTCTAGCAGGCATAGTTTATTATATACCATGGATATTTAATTAAAGAATATATGTATCATAGACAAGTTTTAATGTAATTTTCTTGGTAGGGTGTCTTGCAGTATATACATTAGAACCTGAAACCTGGACTTGAATTTTGTCTTTGATTTTCGTAAAGTCAATAGTTGTCAAAGGAGTATAGAAAAAAACATTATAGAGGCCTTTGAAACTTGATAAAAAATGTACACCTTCGTCATAAGAACTGTTGGAGATACTTAATTTTTATCAACAACCTTGGTTGTATTCAATGTTTTAAAATTTAGACAAATTTCTTAATAACTCAGTCAATTCTTAAGGTTCAAAAACGGCCTACTTCATTTTGGCTGAGTCGGTTGATTGTTATGCAATTGCTATAGCTAATTATATATATATCAACTGAGTTGGTTGATTGTTACATGCAATTGCCATAGCTAATTATATATATATATCTACTGAGTTGGTTGGTTGTTATTCAATTGCTATAGCTGATTATATATATATATATATCAACTGAGTTGGTTGATTGTTATGCAATTGCTATAGCTAATTATATATATATCTACTGAGTTGGTTGATTGTTATACAATTGCTATAGCTAATTATATATATATCTACTGAGTTGGTTGATTGTTATGCAATTGCTATAGCTAATTATATATATATCTACTGAGTTGGTTGATTGTTATGCAATTGCTATAGCTAATTATATATATATCTACTGAGTTGGTTGATTGTTATGCAATTGCTATAGCTAATTATATATATATCTACTGAGTTGGTTGATTGTTATGCAATTGCTATAGCTAATTATATATATATCTACTGAGTTGGTTGATTGTTATGCAATTGCTATAGCTAATTATATATATATCTACTGAGTTGGTTGATTGTTATGCAATTGCTATAGCTAATTATATATATATCTACTGAGTTGGTTGATTGTTATGCAATTGCTATAGCTAATTATATATATATCTACTGAGTTGGTTGATTGTTATGCAATTGCTATAGCTAATTATATATATATCTACTGAGTTGGTTGATTGTTATGCAATTGCTATAGCTAATTATATATATATCTACTGAGTTGGTTGATTGTTATGCAATTGCTATAGCTAATTATATATATATCTACTGAGTTGGTTGATTGTTANCGGAGACATTATAGACACATCTTTGCAGTCTTTTACCCTTTTCATTAAATAAACTCTAGCAGACATAATAATATTATGGCTTTTGAAATTAGGTATTACAATGCTAATTCATAACAAAGACGATATCGAATTCGTCGCTGAATTCCCATGTTTTTTGGGACACCCTGTATATATAATAGATATTAGATACAAGACAATCCTTAAGAAAAACAAAAATTTTCCTACAAAGAAGACGACATTTTTACAAATCTTGTAATGCACCTACGATTTCTACGCTTTCCTCCAATTTTTCAACTAGCTGAAGTGCATGGCGTTGCCTGTGGAGGAAAAAAATGTTGAAAAAAAAGATTTCGATTTTTTTTAGCCTATAACACCCCCTGGCCACCTATGAGTGTCCATAAAAAATATGGCTCGTACTGCATTCGCCCCTCCCCCCCCATCAATACTTGCGCCTATAAACCAATACCATGCCATCATGTCATCTCTGAAGAAATTAGGAAAATACTGGTTAATACATGGTTAAACCCATAAATAAGCCATACATCGAAAGAATTCATACCCTGTGTCGTATTCTTCACTTTCTGATAATGGAATGTTGCAGATATTTTTTTTTTTTTATATAAATGATTATATGGTGCGCTTTAAAACTGTTTCCGCATGTTCATGGCTATTTATTTATGTATCTATTTTCGCAAATACTAAGATTTACGCAAAATAGTATAAAACCCATTTAAAAATTTGATAAATTCTTTCAATGTATGGCTGAAAAAAACGATAAATATCATTATAGGATTCCAGAACAAAAGTAAAAAAAAAAATGAATTAGACTTAAATAGAATGGAATTCTCTGGAAATGAAGTGAAACCCTACAAAGTTAAATAAAAATTAATTGGATTCTCTGGAACTAAAGTGAGACCCCATGGTCGAAGTAGAACTAGAAAGAATGGAACTTTCTGAAACCAAAGTGAGAACCCAAGCATGAAGTGGAACAAAAAATAGAACTATCTGGAACCGAAGTAAAACCCCATAAAGTGTAACTAAAAAGAATGGAACTCTCTGGAACCAAAGTGGAAATCCATGAGAAGGAACTAGAAAGAATGGAATTCTCTGGAACTACATGAAAACTTATGATATAGTATAAACTTAATAGAAACTCATGTATAAAGAACTGAATAAAGGCAACTTTACAAAGAGAAACTCAATATAACAAGCCAGATGGAATCGATTAAAGCACTAACTTTGCACAGACATTTATTTTACATTATTATTAAAATACAAACTGAGGATCAACCGAAGTCAATCCTGGAATCATAGATGGATCTAATTCTCCTCTCGGAGCTACTGGAGCTGTGATCGACCGCTCTCTTCTCCTCCTTCATCAAGACTAACCCTTTTCTCGGGGACAAAATGGACGTTCACCGTTATCCGTGTTCCCCTGATAAGGATTCCCAGGATTTGAACCTTGCTACCCTGGAAATTTCCTCTGGCCGTTGATACCAGCTCCAGTAGTAACGGGTTAAATACAATCAATACTATTTGTTTGTCCAGTTACTCAACTCATGATACAATTTAGCTTGGGTTGAATGAACTAGCTGGGTGGGTTTACAATAGAACTAGAAAGAATGGAACTATCTGGAACCACATGAAAACTCATGAAGTGGAACTAGAAAGAATGGAACTCTCTGGAACCACATGAAAACTCATGAAGTGGAACTAGAAAGAATGGAACTCTCTGGAACCACATGACAACTCATGAATTAGAGCTAGAAAGAATGGAACTCTCTGGAACCACATGAAAACTCATGAATTAGAACTAGAAAGAATGGAACTCTCCGGAACTACATAAAAACTCATGAATTAGAACTAGAAAGAATGGAACTCTCTGGAACTACATGAAAACTCCTGAATTAGAACTAGAAAGAATGGAACTGTCTGGAACAACATACAAAACCCATGAAGTGGAACTGTGCCTGTATAAGATGAAATCATGACTCACAAATACAAGGAAAGAATAAATTGCGCGAACCGGGCAATACAATTCATATAACAATTATTAAAAATGATAACGTTGAAAATATAAAAATCAAAATATATAGAAAATTTTATAAAGTTTGGGTAAGATCAAGATTGGCTGATTTGATTATAAACACAGAATAGAGACAGTTACGCCTACGAGTGAATTGAGGCAGTATAGGCCTAGGTAAACAGCTGGTCTGTATAGTGCTTGATAATACTTTAAACAGGTGGGTGACGTGATTTTACACTGTAATTGTACAGGGCTTACTGTATTATTTACATTATTTACATTGTACAGTCCTCACTGTATAATTTACATTGTACAGTGCGTACTGTATAAATTACATTGTATATTGCGTACTGTATAATTTACATTGTACAGTTCGTAGTGTATAATTTACATTGTACAGTGCGTACTGTATAATTTACATTGTACAGTGCTTACTGTATAATTTACATTGTACAGTGCTTTTTGTATAATCTACATTGTACAGTACATACTGTATAATTTACATTGTACAGTGCTTACTGTATAATTTACATTGTACAGTGCGTACTGTATAATTTACATTGTACAGTGCTTACTGTATAATTTACATTGTACAGTGTACATTTTTGCATACAATGTGTATTCGAGTTATATTCTTGCAGATAAAAATAAAATGCACAGGACTGTGCAGTAAACTGTACGATGCAATTGTGCTCATAAACAGTAAACACGAATGAACATATTATGTACACAGTATAACAGTGCACAGTTAACAAAACCCTTTAATTAGAAAGAATTTTTATGAAATGACTTATTTATATTTAATATATTATATTTTATTATGTTGGAAACACTGGTTTTGGTCTCAAAACATAATTCATTTTTTTGTGAGAAATATTCATTCCTTTCTGTGGGCTGTACAATTTTTTTTATGACTTTTAAGGATGAAATCATACCGGACCGGGCCAGAAAGCACAGCTAGCCATTGGATTAAAAAAATCATAATTTTTTTTCCTATCATACAATTCTATAATATTTTTTCGGGACATTTTTCGTGATAGAAATTGGGACTTTTGCAAAATACTTTTTTGATTGTGACTTAAAGGTATGTTACCGGATTGATGTAATTGAATTATTAATTAGAAAAAGAATTTTTGTATTAAATCTTTGTCTTTATACCTGATAAATTTTCTTTTTTAAATTTTAAATTCAATATAATAATTCTAATTATCAAATATTTATATTACATGAATTCCATAAATTTCATATTTAAAGGGAGTGACTGGAAATGTATGGTAGTTTAATTAAGAACTAAAAATTCATCAAAAATTCTACAGTTTGTTACATTTATTTTCGTCATTAATTAATAATTTTAAAAAAATCGATTCTCAAAACGTAACCACCCAAATGGATGGTTTTAAACGTCGAATTTGCGCTCAAACTCAGTAATTATACATTATTAAAACTTTTTATATGTCTCAAATAAATCCTAAGAAAATTTTCCACAATACTACATTCTCAGTTCAACTACCATGCATTGCCGGTCACTCCCTTTAATTAGCACAATTCTAATATACAAAATTCTAAGAATTGATTTTAATTAAACTTGATCTTCCAGTCAGTTGAATTATTGATAATTTTTCTAATTTGACTCGTCTTTGTTAAATTAATGTCTCTGTGAAGTGTAAACTAAGCAGAAGAAAAGGTCAAATTTATACAACATTACTAGTACAGCTTTGTGACCTCGTAGCTTCTTTACGCAGCACAAATATAAGATAGCTACAACTTACAAGTTAGAAATTCATTTATTTTTATTCTTCTCAATAGTTCTTCAGTGAGAGGAATTATGAATGAAAATATATCAGATTTTAATCTTACGTGGAATTTACTTTAGTTTGACGTGGTTTATTTTATTATTCAACCTTAAACATTTAAACTATCATGAAGCTATATTTACATGACTTACAGAGCAAACTTGTGACAACAAATTATAGCAAACAATTATGATAACATTAATGATAATACTAATAACAATAGTAACAAAAGTTTTAATAATGGTAATAATATCAATAATAGTAACGATAATGATAATTGTTATCATAATCATAATGATTTTAATAATAGTAGTAAGAATGATAATAATAATAAAAAGAACAATTATTATATAAAACAAATGATTTTGATAATAAATATTTCAGGAAGAATTTGAAAAGCTTGTGCAGCATCTGAAAATGCCAACGACAAGGTAACAAAATTTGGAATTAAATTTGTTTTTCTTTTATAATTGTTGTTTAGTTCGACCACATCTGAGGGATGTCAATGTTGTTGTTTTCATTTCGGGTGCTTCGCGGGCTTCCGGCTTCCTCTTCCTGCACCTTGTGCCAGAATAAGACACTGGGTGCGTTAAAAATATTTTAAAGAAGTTGATTCTTCGCCACAAATTGTAACTTTCTAAACCCTATATCTTTACATCCCAATGTCGTGGACCTTACATTTTTCAAACTATTAATTCTATCAGATCAAATAAACCATGTTTGAAATATTTAAGGTGTACATTATCTAGTTGCAAAGATATAGAGATTAGACATTTTGAGTTTGTGGCAAAGACTCAACTCCTTTATTTTTTACTTTTTGTGAACATTTGTTTCAAGTTTTTAAAAAAATTTATTCGAACATTTTTATATTATTTATCTTTTTTTAGTTTCTGTTTTAAGTTTGTTACAATGTTTTCCTTAATCTGTTTTTATTTTGTAGATTCACAGTGGAAGATCAATCAGAAATATTCTTAGAAGTTGTTGCAAATAATTTGTTTTACTCTACATCGTTCATCAATTAATCAATCAATTTAACCATCTCATCAATTTTCCTTTCATTCATCAGTAGAAATTATCCATCAATCAATTATCCAACGATCATTTTACTATCAATAGTAACAATTGTATTATTTAAGTATTATTTTTCATTATTAATAAAATAAATCAATGAAAAAATGTCAATATGCTTGTAATCTATATAATAAAATAAGACATTCATATATGTTGCGTATAGCTGGCCAAACGGCTGGACCGATTGGGCTGAATTTTTTTGTTGACACTAATGGGAGGGGGGGTGGGGTGTAGGCTAGGCTAAAAAAATTAGCAAGTTATAATCTATAGAAGACAAGTAATATAAAAAACATAGAACATCATTTAAGTCCCTTGATCCAAAACGTGAGTACATATTCTGTCTGTTTGCGCATTCGAAGATAATTGATTTGTTTAATTTGTTAGAAGTAGAAGTTTTTGTTTAAAAATTGAAAAGATCACATTTTTTTATATCCAGGAGTCATACACTGTTTACTTTTATACAAACATTAAATTTCATCCAGTCATTTAAAAAAATTAAAGAAAATTTCAATGTCGTCTCCCATTCCTCATGTTTATCCGGAGCATGATTAATTCTCACATCAAATTTAAAATGTATTAAAATTGTATTAACATTTTTTGTGTTGATATTTAATAATATTTTTGATTTTGTTTTCTTTGAAATGATATTTCGCTGGCGCTGGATTTTCGAACATTCCTGGATAATATGAAAATGTTGTCTTTATTATCAAAAATCCTCGAAACAGGAATGAATGTTTTCAAAAGTAACTATTCTGTAAAAAATATTCTAAAAATATCAACTATATATACGAATGCGTCAAAAATTATCGATGAATAATGGTTTTAATATCTGAATGATTTGTTTGGAATTAAATTCAGTTTTCACGATCCAAGTTGAATGTTGCAACTTTCTAAATTTTTATGAGTCGTTTTTAACAATTTTCTCATTATAGACGCAACAGATAAAAGTAAGATTAGTGGCGATCAAAAGCGCTTATTTTTAGTCGTGAGCCTATACCCCCTTTAATTTTTTGCGAGCACTCCCTTTAACAAATAAAAAATAAATCTAACTTTGAGTGATTTTACTGACGCTTTCCCCATCAGTAAACCAGCAGTTTTACACATTTACATCTTCAGAAATACAGAAATATATATATATATATATATATATATATATATTGTTTAAGAATTTTGACTACTGAGGATCGTGAGTATAATTCTTTTTTAATAAAATGTGAAGTTTACATTTAAATTAAAGAAAACTTATACTAATCATAATGACGATCCTCAGTAGTCAAAATTCTTTGAACAATATATATATATAGAAAACCTTTAAACATTCTTCTAAAAAAAGTAGCCTTGAGTTCAGACAAGATTTCCAGGATTTTAAACCTAAAAGCGCTGAAATTTATATATTTGAAAAGCCCTTGAATAATGGATGTAATAACATGTGTCACATGCTATATTGATTAAAAGAGAAATATTTATTTTTGAACATTTTCACAACGTACTTTTTGAACTTTTTTAAAATCCTCTCAAATGCACCTTAACCAATAAAAGATAGAGGTCTAATTTTTTTTATTGAGCAGGTCGTGTAAAGTTGGACTAGGAACATGTATCACAGTCCCAGCTATCTCAACTCTAAGGGCCAAAAGGGGGGTGTCCCCCCCCAATCTATATTAGACTGGAATAGCCCAATAGGGACAAGGTTAACATTTCTCCGAACAAAATAGCAAAATAGATTTAATTAAAGGGTTTCGGCATATTTTAAAGCAATCTTCAGTTCAGGAGTGGCATACGAGATTCACAAAGGTACCCTTGAAACCTATATCTGATCAATAATGAAGAAGATGTCTTCGTTTTTATAGCTAGAAAAGTGTTTGATTTCGACTATACCTTTCTGGAACAGACATGCCATTTCACACAAAGAGAGTCACTTGAAATTATGACTCGGTCATTTTTATTATCATTTATTTTAAGACTATAAGGTTCACAAAGTATACAGAGATGGGCATATTTAATTTTTTATTTTTAATTGACGATAAATCAACTGGATTACAGAATGTATACTAAAAGTCCATGTGCTTGAAAATAACTATTAACTAATAACTTAAATGAATAAAAAAAAACAATCTTTTGTTTCAGGGGAGGTCCAGGCTTGGGCAAGTTTATTTTGAAAGACTAGGGGACGCAGCTTTTTGTACTGCCAATGGAATATATAACTTAAATACATAAATCATGGATGGGAATGGGAGGGGGGGGGACTAGGGGAATTTAGTAAATAGTTAACAAAGTTGAGAAGTATATGGCGTGAGAGTGTATTTGTATACAGGTATTAATGAATGAATAATGAAAGATATGTCTATATTTGTTCATCTAGTTCTACAGTTAATTGTTTCCCTTGAGTTAATGAGTATATTGTATGCTAGGAGAGAAAAGCTGAGAAAACTTTGCATTATGAGCTTTCATTTCACTCATTTTTCAATCAGGGTTTGAGTAAATTTTACGCAGGCTAGCATTGTTTAGAGCATATTCTACTCAGGCTAGCATGGTTTAGAGTATATATTCTACTCAGGATAGCATGGTTTAGAGTATATTCTACTCAGGCTAGCATGGTTTAGAGTATATTCTACTCAGGCTAGCATGGTTTAGAGTATATTCTACTCAGGCTAGCATGGTTTAGAGTATATTCTAATCATACTAGCAAGGTTTAGAGTATATTCTACTCTGGCTAGCATGGTTTAGAGTATATTCTACTCCGGCTAGCATGGTTTAGAGTATATTCTCCTCAGGCTAGCATAGTTTAGAGTATATTCTACTCAGACTAGGTTTAGAGTATATTTTACACAGGCTAGGAAGATTTAGAGTATATTTTACTCAGGCTGGCATGATTTAGAAGTATATTGTACTCAGGCTAGCATGGTTTAGGGTATATTCTACTCCGGCTAGCACGGTTTAGAGTATATTCTACTCAGGTTAGCATGGCTTAGAGTATATTCTACTCAGTCTAGCATGGTTTAGAGTATGTTGTACTATGGCTAGCAGGGTTTAGAGTATATTTTACTCAGACTAGCATGGTTTAGGGTATATTCTACTCAGGCTAGCATGGTTTAGAGTATATTTTACTCAGGTTAGAATGGTTTAGAGTATATTTTACTCAGGCTAGCATGGTTTAGAGTATATTTTACTCAGACTAGAATGGTTTAGAGTATATTTTACTCAGACTAGCACGGTTTAGAGTATATTCTATTCATGCTAGCATGGTTTAGAGTATATTCTACTCAGGTTAGCATGGTTTAAAGTATATTTTACTCAGGCTAGCATGGTTCAGAGTATATTTTGCTCAGGCTGGCAGGGTTTAGAGTATATTCTACTCAGGCTAGCATGGTTTAAAGTATATTTTACTCAGGCTAGCATGGTTTAGAGTATGTTTTACTCAAGCTGGCAGGGTTTAGAGTATATTTTACTCGGGCTAGCATGGTTTAGAGTATATTCTATTCATGCTAGCATGGTTTAGAGTATATTCTACTCAGTTTAGCAAGGTTTAGAGTATATTGTACTATGGCTAGCAGGGTTTAGATTATTTTTTACTCAGGCTGGCAGGGTTTAGAGTATATTCTACTCAGTCTAGCAAGGTTTAGAGTATATTGTATTATGGCTAGCAGGGTTTAGAGTATATTTTACTCAGGCTGGCAGGGTTTAGAGTATATTCTACTCAGTCTAGCAAGGTTTAGAGTATATTGTACTATGGCTAGTAGGGTTTAGAGTATATTTTACTCAGGCTGGCAGGGTTTAGAGTATATTCTACTTAGGCTAGCATGGTCTAGAGTATATTCTACTCAGGCTAGCATGGTTTAGGGTATATTCTACTCAGGCTAGCATGGTTCAGAGTATATTTTACTCATGCTGGCAGGGTTTAGAGTATATTCTACTCAGGCTAGCATGGTTTAGAGTATATTTTACTCAGGCTAGCATGGTTTAGCGTATATTTTACTCAGGCTAGCATGGTATAGAGTATATTTTACTCGGGCTAGCATGGTTTAGAGAATATTTTACTTTGGCTAGCATGGTTTAGAGAATATTTTACTCAGGCTAGCAAGGTTTAGAGTATATTTTTCTCAGGCTAGCATGGTTTAGAGAATATTTTACTCAGGCTAGCAAGGTTTAGAGAATATTTTACTCAGGCTAGCAAGGTTCAGAGAATATTTTAATCAGGCTAGCAAGGTTTAGAGTATATCTTACTCAGGCTGGCAGGGTTCAGAGTAAAGGAATTGAGTTTTTGCCAGAAACTAAAATCATCTGATTCCAATATCTTTGCAACCTTATGGTGCAAACCTTTGATATTTCAAGCTTAGATTATTTTATCTATAAGTATTAACAGTTTGAAATATCTAAGGTCTACGGCATTGGGTTTCAAAGATATAGAGATTAGAAAATCAGAGTTTGTGGCAGAAACTCAACTCCTTTGACTCTTATTAGTATTGAGTAGATTGAAATGCATAAAAAAACGGAGGAAAAGTTGTGAATTAATATGAAGATTGTAGAATATTCAATTATAATAGTGATTGTCAAACTTTTAAAACTGTAGTTGAAGTTTATAAGCAAAGTTTTTTTTCCTTTTTCCTTTATAATATTTTTACTTAAAAAACTGATTTGTCTTAATCTTTTTTATTTGAATGTCTTTCAAATTGAACAAAATTTTACAACTTAGGGGCTCTCTTTATTTGTTTGTGAATACGTTAGGGTCTGCTAAATTTATTATAGGTATGGAGCTAGGTAGACAGGGCACATATGGGTCTAGACTGCCTTTAATTTTACCTTATTAGCTCCCTTATATTCAATTGTGGTCCTGTAGACATGTTTATTGAAACTTTATAAAGCACTTTGTACTAGTTTAGTTTTTATGAAGAAATTAGCAAAACATTCATAGGTTTTTGCGTAAAAGATTTGCAAGGGGTGGGCATAATAAAAGTAGGAGGGAGGATAACATTTAATTTTGTGAGGGCTTTATGTTGGCCACGATTCACAAGGGACATATTACATTTAAATAAATGTAGAACCAGGGTTCATGACTCTCTTATATTAGGATTCATACAATTCTTATTCAAACAGACACTATACATACAGGGTGA